AATCACCCGGGGCAGCAGACAGGCCAAAGGGTAGGACTTGTATTTGGAAATGTTCTTGTCCAACCATGAAAGGGAGATACCTGCAGTGACTTGGTCTGATAGAGATAGGGAAGCATACATCCTTTGGATCAAGAGCTACAAACTAATCTAAAGAGGTAAAGGAGGGTATATTGGATACTAGAGTCAACATGCAGAAACTGAATCGTCTAATAAAAGCATTGAACTTTGTAAGATCTAATATCAGATGAATCTTTCCATAGGCGCCAACTCCATGGGTGCTCTGGGGCGGGAGTATCCTTGGGGAAAAATCAGCGGGTGCTCCGCACCCACCAGCAGCTACACTGCCCCCTCCTTGCCTCCTTCTCCTCACCCAGCACACCGTGTCCCTGCTCTTCCCCGTCCCTCCCAGCGCTTCCCGCCCCCCTACCACCTAACAGTTGTTTGGCGGTGCTTAGAACTTTCCAGGAGGGTGGGGGAGGAGCGGGGACACAGCGCGCTCAGGGGAGGAGGCGGAGAAGAGGCAGGACAGGGGCGGGGATGGAGTGGGAAAAGGCGGGGTGGGGCAGGGACTTTGGGGAAGGGGTGGAATGGAGGTGGGGCAAGAGTGGTGCAGGGGTGGGAACAGGCGGGGTAGGGGGCGGGGTCAAGCACCCACCGGGAAGATACCAGAAAATAGCTGGAGTAGAATCCTTGACCTCTGAATTCCCTTGGAACCTCCTCTATTGCTCAAGGGGCTGAATCTCTGATTTTAACAAGCTTTCATGAGAGTCTCCTTGAATCTGGAAGAGGGGTTTGGATGGAGGAAGTGTTTCAAACTGAATGGAATAACCATCTTTTAACAAGGCATACATTTTAATGGTGAAGGTAATTAACCATTGGAACAATTTACCAAGGGTTATGGCAGATTCTCCATCACAGGCAATTTTTAAATCTAATCAAGATCAGATGTTTTTCTCAGAGACTTCTTGTAGTTCAGACAGGAATTGTTTCAGAGAAGTTCTAAAGGCTGTGTTATGCAGATGGTCAAACTAGATGATCACCATGTTCCCTTTTATAGTCTCACCCTCAGAACACACAGAAATGCAGAGAGAAGAGGTGGGAGGGACACATGAGAGCTCCAACGGGCACTGAGCTGCACCTGCTGGTGCATCCCATGAGTGCAAATATACAGAGGACACTCAATAATGAATTTGTCTTCTTCATGTTTGACACAATTTTGAAATGATTGCACTCTATGATACATAGTCATAAATCACACAGGTGCCATTTTACTATGTTACTAAGGCTTCATTCAAGTAGTCATTTTAACGGTGCCAATCCTTGTAGCATATAGATTGAGTAGGAGGGTTAATGTATTGAATTGAATTAATGGAGATATCCTATCTCCTAGAACTGGAAGGGACCTTGAAAGGTCATCGAGTCCAGCCCCCTGCCTTCACTAGCAGGACCAAGTACTGATTTTGCCCCAGATCCCTAAGTGACCCCCTCAAGGATTGAACTCACAACCCTGGGTTTAGCAGGCCAATGCTCAAATCACTGAGCTATCCCTCCCCCCCCCAATATGAAAATAGTAACCTCTCAAGTTTCCCGAGGTTTCAGTAGCATAGTTGGTTATTGCACTTTCCCCTTTGAAATGTTGGTTGCCATTTCTGCAGACCTGGGTATAATCACAATTTAATTTAAAATTAGTGCAGTGGTGTTATTTTAGCTCCATTCCACCTAATCAGAAAACTATTTGTTGCCGGTCAGAACTGAAGTGTACTGCCTGACCCTGCAGGACTGAAGTCAGAGTGGGGGTCTGCCATGGACTTAAATTGGTGCAGGATCAAGCCCACTATGTGGAAACTTGTACAGCACTTACTTACTTTATCTGCTTTTTATCAACACTTGTAGCCTCTCCCTTTCTTAAGCACCAAATTCAACACAACAATTAATAGGAAAAAATGCAGCACAGTTTAGGAAGAATTAAAACCCACCAAAGCCTAAATGTGAAAGAGACCTAAAATAAGGTACAGGGCAAAAGCATAACTTCAGTTTTATATTGCAGCATTTCTAAAAATCCATAGTAAAACACAGGATCACAAGACACTGTAGAAAAGATAAAATAGGTTTTTAAATAACAGATGGCTTTGTAATGGTGATCATTTGAGAAATGCATGATAAGAGGCTTAAAATTATATCTATTTGGGACAACACTGGCATCCAGTGGCCAAACATATTAATTCTATATTTATGTATCATTCCATACACCTATATATTACTACACATATTTCATGTATTACTATATTTCTATCTGCATCTTTAATTTAAAGATGAATGGAACAGCTTCATGCTGTTTTAAGCTGTTTTATTTACATTGTCATCACTGTGAAAGGAGAAGCACAGAACCCTGAACTCAGGTCTTCACAGGAAAGGCACTACTTCTTCAAAGACTTATGCAGGTGCTTAACTTCACGCACCGTGGCTAGTCCCATACAACAGTGTAGAATAAATATAAAACTATAAAATTAAAGTTACCTTAAGTTTGGTGAAAGAAATATGTGTTGTAAAGAAAGGCCATAATTAGCAAGTGAAAGAAAGGCCTTGAAAGTAATGAGTTATAAGGAAAGGAGGAACGAAATAGGGAGGATGTTTGCTCCAAAAAAATAATTAATAAGATAAGGGAAAGTTTCTAAAAAGATGGCTTCTGTCTGATACGGGCAACTGCAGGTTGTTTTAAATAATCTGTCTTTAAAAGTCCCAAATGGATTTTTACAGAAGCTATAAAAATAAAAGACTCAATAATAATGTGTGTGGAACTGGAATCATTTCAGAGAATGCTATCATGGGATGGAGGTCCTGGACTTCAATCTCTTACCTAGCAGCCTAAATTTGGCCTCCTATCCTTCCCTATGTCATTGTTACCTACATGTACCACAAACACCGGCTCCTCCCCAGCACTACATGTATGTCTGTCAAGATGTCTCGAGAGATCTGCAATCTTCGCATCTGGCAGGCAAGTCATCATGAGGTTCTCCTGGTCATTGCAAATCCAGCTATCTATGTTTCTAATGATCAAATCCTCCATTATTATTACCCATCTCTTCCTAATAACTGGAGTTCCCTCCCCCACAGAGGTATCCTCGGTGCAAAAAAATACCACAACATCATCTGGAAGGAGGATCCCAACTACGGGATCATTTCCCTCTGCTCCACTTTGATGTTTTCCTTCCCTGAGACTTTCATCCTCCTTAACAGCACAGAGGCTTCAGACTGGGGGTGGGACTACTTTCCTGTGTCCTGGAAAGTTTCATCTATGTACCTCTCTGTCTCCCTTAGCTCCTCCAGTTCAGCCACTCTAGTCTCCAAAACCCGTACACAGTCTCTGAGGGACAGGAGCTCCTTGCATCGAATGCACACGTACGCCCCCGGCCCATAAGGCAGGTAATCATACATGCTGCATTCAGTACAATAAACTCTGTTTCTGGACTTCTGCCTGAATTCTCTTTTTACTCCTGCAGCTCTTTCCTTTATTGTTGTTTTGTTTTTATAGGGAGTGTTTATTGCCTTAAGTTTAAAGAATATTAATGAAGTGTATCTAGCCCCCCCATCCCCACTCTAAACTCCTTCGCAAAACTCCCCGGTTAGCTGCTCCTGGTCGCTAGCTCCTCTGGTCACTTAGGAGTGGGCTTTTTAAACCTCTGTTCTCCCTATGTAGCCCTGCCCCTGGTTAAGGGTTGATGGGTACTAAAGGGCATGGGAATCAAAGAAGCTCTCAGCCTTGCCCAGCAGGCCTCTAGCTCAGCACAAAGTCCCCCAAACAAAGAGACCATGCTATATACTTCGGTCAAGCAGCAAACACACCACAAACATACACACTAAGGACAACAAACTCACCCCAACTCTGAGGCTAAATAAACCTGAGGGGGTTGTGGGGATTAAGGGAAGTAACTGCAAAACCCATTTTGAGACACAGCATTCCCCTCCACAAAGCCAGCCATCTTTGTCTGCTCCCTACCCCTTACCAGCACCTAGATCTTATGCTTAATTTGTGCAGGGACTTGCCAGGGCTGAGCCTCGGCACCTGTAGGCTTGGCAGTTCATAGCCCTGGCACCTCTGGGGTTGCCACATTGATTATGAAAGTAAAAAAATTGCTTGAGCCCCAGCACCTCCTTCATTACAAATTAAGCACTGCCCAGATCTAAGATCTGGGTAACTCTAATGCAGCCATACAAGAGGTTTGGGGAATCCTTGCCTCCCCCTACTTCCCTGCACAGCCACTTTAGAAAGTCACAATCTAGCTCTAAATATTTAACAACTTTTCCTGAATGCACAAAAGGAAGATTTTAATCATTTAACTTCATTATTATCTGTTTTAAATTTACCAAGTGACTACGCCTCCTTGAGAGCTAGCTATGTATAAAGTTTGAAGTTTTTAAGTTCAACCATTTTTTGGGAAAAAAATTTTTGGGGCCAGATCTTCAGCTGGTGTAAAACATCTTAGCTTCATTGACTTAAATTGAACTATGACAGCTTTCACAAGTTGAGGAGCTGGTATTATTATTTCTCTCTACATATTTATAGATACAATTTTTCTCCATTTACCTAATAAAAACATCTGAACATAGTTTGTTCAAACACTCCAAAAACAGTTATGTCACCTGAGGGCTGAGATCAAACATGCAAAGTTCCAGCACACCAGCGACTTCCCATTCGATATTCCCAGCTTCCCCAACATGATTACATGCCATAGAAAAACATTTGCCTCTTAGGACTGCTGCAGTAAATCACCCTTACTGCTACCATCATGTAAGAGAAATGTGAGATAAGAATGACACCTCTAGCTTTTGAATTATAAAAAGTCCAGCTCTTTCTGTAATTCTGGAAAAAAAAAATCTGATAGCTAAAGACTGCTGTTAGGGTGCAATTAAACATCAATTTGTTGTTTTATTTTGCCATTTAGATACTTGCAAAGTGGTAATTCTGCATGCGATACAGCATATTGGCATAAATACCTCACCTCTTGTGCTTCGTGGGCTATTAGCTGTTCCATTAACATCTTCCGTCGTCTCTTTTCTCGTTGCTCCCGGGCAAAACTGTCTTCCTCTAGACGTTTTTGAATTTTTCTTATATATTCATCATCTGAATAAGTGCTCAACAATTCAGTAGTTGTCTGGGCTGTGGTGTCTGGAGCTGTTGTGTCTAACTCCTGTATCTGCAAGGTGTCCTGTACATTGCTAAGAAAATACATGTTGAACATCAAAAGAATGGCTACTTCGAGAGGTGTTGTCAATGTGGATTCCACTCTTGGTGCACATGAACCACATGCACATGAGTTTGGATTATTTTGGCCACCAGTGTCAGTTAGGTCCACACCTGTACCTTAAATGTCCTTGTGTCCCCCATTTGAGGGCTTAGCAGGCCCAACCATTCCCTGGCCAGTAAAGAATCCCAGAGGATTAGGACTACACAGGATTGGGGAAGGAGGGTGGGTCATGGAATCAAAATGGAAAACACATCTCAAAGAACCACCATTTACTGTAAGGCTAGTAACCATTCTTTTTTCTTCGAGTGATTGTCCACATGGATTCCACTCTTGGTGACTAACAAGCAGTTGTCTACTTGGAGGTGGGTAGTAGGGGACTTACTTAAATAGTGACTGCATGACAGCCCTACCAAAGAGGATCAGTCTCAAAGAGTCTACCAAACAGTAGTATCTTGTAAATGTAGTGTCCATTAGCTGCCCTACAGATTTCAGAATTAAGGACATTCTTCAAACAGGCAGCAGAGGCTGCCTGAGATCTAGTGGACTTGGTACATCCTGTCAGCTCACTTGAATGTGGCCAAATGGATGCTGGTGTGTGCTACAGGTCTTTTGAGGTTCCAACCATCCTTTGTTTACAGGCATGGTGAGCCTGCCAGGTATACAGGGGTACATGATGTCCAAGGGTTTGTGAGGTTTCGCCTGCACCACTTCTGATCTGAGCCTGCTGGGCTCCGATTGGCTGCTTCCATTTAGCCCCTCTAGGCAGGCCTAGAGGACCCATCTTCACAGGCCCTTTCCTAAAGCGCAGTGTAGTAGGACCACAGGGCTTGTATAGCTAAAGTCTCTGCCAGGAGGAATAAGGCTGATAAGATATGAGTACTAGGGCGAGGGACTGACAGCGGGGGAGAAATACCAAGAAGGATGTTCCCTGTGAAACCTAAGTTGTTTCCGACCATAGACAGATACCTCTCCAGAGACTCTTCCTGATTTCCATCGTGCTATCTAAGGAAGAAGAGTAGGGTGGGAAGGGGAGCACTTTCTATTATACCCCACTGGGTGCAAAGAAAAGGACTACATGAGGGAGGGGCCATCCTGTCAGGAGCTCCCCTGGCTCTGTTGTGCTTTCCTTAACTGGTAGGGGGTGAATTGGTACCAAAGATACCTCCTTAACTTTCTGTGGCTAGTGGGCTTAGTTCTCACCACCTTAAACCTTTCAAGGAAAGTAGACTCTGTTACTGGGCCCAAAAATAAATCATTCATACCATATGTGCCCTGGATACCAACATAGTAGGTATTGATACACTGGACACTGAGGAACATGCTTCCAAGGTTGCCTGTACAGTACCATAGAATTTGTACTGAGAGAGATAGGGCCTGCAGGTTTAGTGGGTACTGCCAGCACTCTTAACAGTCAGTACTGGGGTGCTAGAGGGACCATCTCAGCCTATTTTCTGCTCCTGCACTATTGAGCCTGAGACTACTAAGACTTCTAAGTCTTGTGCCTCAACTCAGAAGGTGACCTATTCTTCAGCTCAGCTCAGGAGTAGTGTTTCTTCCTACCCTATCAGAGGTCACTGAAGCAAGAAGGAGGCAGATGACTGGGGCCTCTTGGTCAGTTTAGCTTTGGGTAGAATCTTGACTCAACCAGGGCTCATGGAGAAAGACTGACTGAGGTCGAGCTGCCTCCCTCCTTTTGGTGTCCAAGGAGGCTTACATATAGCACACCAAAAGGAACAATTTTAGGAAGACTTCGCTCACTTTTTGAGTCTGTTTAGAGAAGAAGTGATATATGGTGCATTATTCAGGAATACGTCTAGGGTGACCAGAGAGCAAGTGTGAAAAATCGGGACAGGGGGTGGGGGGTAATAGGAACCTATATAAGAAAAAGACCCCAAAATCAGGACTGTCCCTATAAAATCGGGACATCTGGTCACCCTAAATACATCCCTCTCAAACAAAATAGGCACCTAGAGTGTCTATTGTTAAGTGGCACTGAAGCTTCACATCAGACACAGGTCTTAAACCCCAGAGATTTTGCTTCTGCCATTTTGCTAGTGCCCACGAATACAGGTGCATGAATGAGGCATCTGAAGAAGTGCGGGTTTTTACCCACGAAAGCTTATGCCCAAGTAAATCTGTTAGTCTTTAAGGTGCCACCGGACTCCTTGTTGTTTTTGTGGATACAGACTAACACAGCTACCCCCTGATACTTGACACGAATACAGGGTGATTCTAGCTGAAAAGCAAAACCTGACTACAATAAGATTTTTTATTATTATTATTATTTCTGTTGCCAATGGGCAGCAAGACTAACAATTAACCTTAAATTCACACAATGTGCAGAGAAGCAGGTGCGCACTGCAGGGGTTCCATCTTGCTCCCACAAATGCTAAAAAGGAACTGATGGACGGTTGGGACACTCAGTTCTTCATGACCTCCGGGGCGAGGGCACGGAGGGAGCAGGCATGGCCCCAACAGACCCTGCTGGCCAAAAGAACCTGGTCTTGTGTGCCTGGGATGCATGAACATCGAGTGGAATCCTTGTGGATTAATCACTTGAAGATTACATACTGTTTTACAGTGATAAAGTTGCTGCCTCCCTGCTCTGCCCCTTCCACTCTGGTCACCAGCTATAATATCAAGGCAAAAGACAAAGATCTTTGCTGCCCTGAAACTGACTGCTGCTGCCTCCTCCCTGATGGGCCAGTTGCCCCTAAGTTCTGACTTTGGGGAACGAGCTTTTATCATCTCTTTGAAACCAGTATGTTGTTTTTGTCAGTCTGTGTGCTTTTTTAAAATAGGCAGAGTGCCTATATCTTTAGTGGGTTGGGAGTGGAATTAATTAAAAGAGAAAATATTCTGCTTAATATATACAGTGCAGCTTTAATTTATGTTGGTTTTATCGTATAGCTGTTCAAGTGGTGTGTTATGTGTTTGAGAGGTATTTTATGTTTCCTCAATCTAAAACCCATACCAGAAAAATGTAAGCATCCCAAGCAAAAAGGCACTGAGTGGCTCTTGAAGCCACTTTATATTATTTTCAGTCTCCTGCTAAAGCACAGGTGAGGCATACCAACAGCAGGTGTCTTTCTTCCAGGGCTTCTTGATGCCCATTACAAACAGTTTCTCAACCAGACAAATCATCTGCTGTTTCTATTTTATTCTGTTCTATTCTACATAGGTTCTTGTACTTGTGCTCATCATGGCAATATCTGAGCACCTGCTTCTATAGCTATTTTACGCAGGCATTAAGGTTCTAGCAATATGAAATTGGAAGCTCCTTGCATGGCCAAATTAGAGGAAGAAGTTCATGTTGAAAAACATCTTCAGATGACTAGTGCAAAATACAGTGATTAAAATCAAGAATTAGATAGCCTGAAACAGCTCTCCTCTGTCTTAATTACGCAAAAAGTTCTCCAGTGAAAAATATAAGTTTTGGAAAAATCAACTAAAAATTAAAAATGGGATACTCATGCGCATAAAATATCACATAAGTATGAAATCTGGAAACATGAATCTTAATCTATCACGTTTAAGGAATTCTTCGCCCAAGAAAACAGGGGGAACTAATGGGATAAATTAGCTGAACTCATCCCTGTAACCTAATGCATGTGAGCAGTCTCATTGACTTCAATGGGACTACTCACATTTGCAAAGTTAAACACATGCTTAAGTGTTTGCAGGATCAGAACTTCAGTGAGGCAAGAGTTCATGTACACTCATAAGTAGCCCTACCTCATTCAAGCCCCAATTGTCCACAGACTAATGCATTCACTTAACTTTACATCAGCTTCAAGTAAGTAAGTGTGCGCGTAAGTCTGTGCAGGATTGAGGCTTCAATGTACACAGTGAAAGATCTCAGTCTTTATGCATCTTCACACATAATGCACAGTGACAACAGGACATTGTAAGATTGTTAATACAACTACTTTTTTTTAAAGTCAGTGTGAATACATGATGTATATGATATTTTAAACTCTTAACAGTTGGCCAAAACAAAATAGATTATCACAGTATCATGGGAAGGCACATGTCAAATTTACAGATTACTTCTGTACAAACATTAAGTTTCTACTCTAAAGCTGTTTGAGAGAAAAAATGTGGGCTACTTTTTAAAAAAAAAATGTACTCAAACTTTCCAAACATTCATTGAGACAAGACCTGGAAAACACGAGCCTAAAAAGGAGAAAGTTTGAGAAAGTTCTAAGCAACTGAGAAAGGCTCTTTAGGGATATTAATGTCTCTTTGTCTGACTGCAAAATTTAAAAGTAGAAAATGAGGTATACTTTAAAATAAAAATGAAAGCAGTTGATATAGGGGGTGAACAGTTTCATTAATAGAACCACAAAACTATTGGATATTTCTTTTTTTCCCCCCAGTGGCTACAGTTTCATTGATGTTAACTTGGTGGAAACATTACCTGTCAGTGACTTGGGTGCTACTAGAAGTAGGGCTCTCTTTCCTCATAAACTTCTCAAACTTCTTAATTTCCATGTATACATCCTAGAGAAACAGCACAGACATTTCAATTGTCTTACCTTCCCTAAAACCACAAAAGATGGATTCAACTATTAACCATTTGTATTTGTACTGTAACCAGGGCCGGCTCCAGGCACCAGGCACCCAAGCTGGTGCTTGGGGCGGCACCTGGAGGGGGGCGGCGGCGCGGCGCTCCGCCCCCGGGGAGAGCGGGGCCACAGCAGGGCTCGCCGCCCTCCCCCCGGCTCTCTGGCCGCCCTCCCCCCGGCCGCTGGGGGGAGAGCGGAGCCCCCGCCGGGGCTCGCTGCCCTCCCCCCGGGGCTCCGGCCGCCCCCCCCCCTTCCTACATACAAGTCAACCCATTGTAAAGACAGCATATGGAGCTTTGCAGTCTTCCATTCTGCACAATATGATTTGCTAGACTACTGAGTAAAGTCAGTTCAAGCCCTGTGAAGAATTCATTCAGGGTTTTTTAAGTATACTGTTCTTTGCCAAGTATGTTGTAATTTGGATTCAGTAGCCCAAATTTTGTCTTATTTTACACCCTGTGTAACCCAACTCATTTGGTAAATTCCAAAAGAGAATTGGACTAACTAAATTATCTCTCTTCCCCCCTCTCCGCCCACCTTCAAAGTTCTCAACTAGATCTGGTTGTACAGAATGTGAGTCAGGGTAAAATTTGGCCCACTTAGTTCTAAGTACAACATGATCCAAATTTCTAAATGGGAAGCATTCTCCAAAAAGCTTTAAATGTATTACATACAGTAGTGTAACATAAGAGAATCCAGCAAAAGTACCTTCAGTCTTCCTTGCTTTGATATGAGACAGCTACCAGTTTTAAATCTTACTAGTGTTTTTGTTGTCAATGGCACTTTTATATAGCATATTGTAAAAGAGTTAATAAATTACAATGCAGAAGTACAACAGTCACAAATCATAAGGAAATGACTAAGGGCTTGATACAATTTCCATTAAAGTCGACAGGAATTTTTCCACTGACTTCAATGTGGCTAGAGTGGATCCTAAAATATTACCAAGGATTAATTTAAGGCCTGGTTCTGTACTACTTACTCTGGAAGAACTCTCATTGATGTCAATGGGAGATTTCCCTAAGTAAAGTAGGCAGGTTCAAGCCCTTAGAGGTTACTGGGCCAGACTCACTACTGCATTAGGCCAGTTTTATGCTGATGTAATTGTTGAAATCAGTTAAATCAACAGTGCCATTTGGTATGCATATAATCCCTAACAGTAGATTTCTACTGAGTTTGCTTGCTTTGCAAAATTTAGTGTTACTAAAACTTAAAGTAATAAAGTTAACACTTACCTCTGCTTCTTTTTTCTTTTTTAACAATTTTTGGGCTTCCATAGCTTTCAAGGTACGGTTTAGTGGTGGTTTTGGAATCTGTATAATAGCTGCTTGAATCCTGGCCATTATTTCATTTTGTCTCCTTCTTCCTTTACGATGCTGAACATCCAGTATAAATCTGTTCAGTTACTTGAATGTATGTAAAATATACTATACAAGTATTGTAATTCACCCACAGAATAATTCTTATAAGCAGAAAGTACTTGAACAAACAAGTTCCAATCTTGCATATAGTGCTATAAAAACTTATGATTAAACCATTTTTTAAAAAGTAGAAAATTTAAAAAAATGAAATCAAGAAGCCCATCTCTATATGTTGTGTATAATTAAGTCTTAATGACTGTATTTTGAGTTCTCCTGATTTGTCGGTCCCCTATATGCATGTGAAACAATCATTTCTTTGGGCCAAAAACTGATCTTGTAAACTAACTTTCTAACTGATCAACAGTCATAGCAACATCCTAGCACACTATGGCTTCGCATGTGGTTGGTCCATGTTGGGAGAGGGAGGTATACTATTCACACAGCAGTATCAGAAGGTGTATGTCTTCACAATGCATAATGCCTCCTGGGGCTGGTAGCGGTGGAGAATAGTACACAAAGAAATGTCCCTTGGTACATTCCTCCAAAGATGCATCGAGGACTCTCATTATGCAGCTTTACTGGTGTACTGGGATCAGGGTCTTCACCTCATCCCCTCCTTGTGCAGATAGGCACCCCCAGCAGCTTGTAGCACTGCCAACCCCGCACTCCCAAGTGCTCACAGCCACAAGTCTTCCCTCCCCACCACTCTGAGGGTGCACTACTCTGTGGCCCTTCCCCATTTTGTGCCACCACAGAAGAGAGGGATAGACCTCAGTGTCACACTACTTTTATTTACTCAACTCCATTACAGATAATACCAGTGTGCCTCCACAAAACATGATTACTGATCTGTCAGATGGAGGATTTTTTAATAATCAAAATTTGTAATATGTATATTTTTAAAATTAAAAACTGGTAATATAATAATTAAAGACTTTCTTGTTTCACTGACAATTGCATGTGTTTACATTTCCCTTTTTTCATTTCTCTTCTTTCTCTGAGGGAAAGTTGCACGGACCCTCACCATTTTTCCTATGTCTCCTCTGCTTTTTTGCAGGTTGTTTTGTCTCTTCTACTTTCCCCTTCCACCATCCTTAGTCCTCTCTCTCAAAAGGCTTTTAACATTAAATTGGATAAAATAATAAAAGCTGAATCTGAAATTAATACTCCTCATTCAACAATTGATTGATAAAGGACTGAAGAACTGCATCCCCCAATGATATTGAAGTGCTGCTCTGAATTGAGGGAAAACAGTACGTTGAAAGGCTTCCTATTCTCTTCTAAAATTTACTTTTTTTCCTCTTTAGAAGCAACAAGTAACCCAAGTGACATCTCTGAGTAGCATTTCAAATACAGTCAAGCATCAATTCTCTGGTGCCTTTTTGATCAATTGTTGAAGCTATCTTCAGATCCAAGCTTTTGGCCATCAATTGTGAATATAAAGCAGGAAAGAGGTGAAGCTGCACCAGTGGGTCAGGAGGTGGGAAAGATACCAAAGTGTCACCATCAAGCAGACTACAGTAGATTAGGTATACCTGGGTAAGAGTTTGAGGTTGGGTGGAAAAAGCAATTTACCTCCTGAGATTAAACAAAAAAGTCAACCCCAAAAGGGAGCATTATATCAAAGATAAGAGAAGCGTGTTTTTATTTTAAAGGTATTTTAAATGTCATTTACATATTTTGGCGAAGAATATTTAGATGGGTAAGGATAGTTTACTTTCTTTTCTTATTTTTCTTATACTGATAAGACCCACTTTATAATCATAGTAAGACTCTTCACGTTGTGTGTCATATTTGGATATTACAACTTTTCATGTGATTGTGGCATTTGCCCTTTATCCTTATTCCTAACAATTCACTTCTGTCATGGCAATATACAAATACACCAAACACTTTATTGTCCTGATGTATGTAAATATTAATATTTTAAGTGATTTATAAAATACTATTGGTTACACAGCCACATCTTTATGTTTGTCAAGAGTGTTACACTTTTTTCTGCTTTTCCATCAATATGTATGTGTGGAGCAATATAAAGGGAATTAATGGCTTCAACAGGACTAATAAAACACTTAAAGCTTACATAAGTAAACATCTGCAGGATTGGATTCTTGGTATGAAAAAATAAATTGGCTTTTCACCTTTTCAATGTCTTGGGCTCTTTGCTCCTCCTGGATTTTTTGAACTTTCTGTTGTTCTGCAAACTGTATACGAGCTATTTTATTTTCCATGTGCTTAGATTTCATTTCAAAATGCTCTGAAACCTGCTGCAGTCTCAAGTCAGTCTGCCGTGGCATTAGGTTTCTAAGACGCTATGATGAAATAATGTTTCAAGATATCTCAGAGTTAGAAACAGTAACACAAACATTAGATTTAACCAGTTAAACAGTAACACAAACATTACATTTAACCACTTAAACATTAAACTACTGTACCTCCAAAACTCAAAACTGTCCTAAAGGGACATTTAAGAAAATACTTTTGAATAGGCACTTCCCATATACTGATGTTCGCAGAACAACAGCTAGATATACAGGAATTTTTTTTTTTATTTTTTTCAGAAAAATTGCCGGATTTGCTGAAATTGACGTAGAGAGTTGTAAATTACAGGATGGCAAATGGTATTTGAACAGATGAATTCAGTCAGTTGCAGGAAATGCTGAATCAGGTGTTCCTTGTTACTGTAGCTGCACCTCTTTTCCCTTTTGGTTTGTGCTATCCACATACAACCTCCTGGTGAAGGGATATTATGGCTGCTCCCACTCTCCTTGAGGATCATTCTGCCAGTGGAGACCTATGTCTGATTTTGTGCCACCAAACAGCATATAAACAAGGGATAAATTTGATTCACAACATACAGCTTATTCAAAATTGCTCACCCTCATGTGGCCTGCTCTCAGAGAGCACTACTAATGAGATCAGGGAGTGTGTACTCTGGCAGGACCTACACCGCTAACCCTCTTCTCAGTCTTCTGCTCTTTGCGCAATTTCAGCATGCAAACTGTACTGCCGAGAAGAATAAGATGGCAGCTGCTGTAAAACTACTGGCCTGTGCTGTTATTTCCTTTGAGGCAATAAAGAAGCCTGGGGAAGAAAGTAGGCAACAAATGGAAAGAGGCAAAGCAAGGAAACAGAGAATCTTGAAGCTGATTGGCCTGCCTATGAATCAATGAAGGGGATGGAAAACTAAGCATCTGTCACAGACGCGTCAGATAGGTACTCTATATCGAACAGAAAGTTGAGTTAAATGAGCTGAATGTTTTTGGATTTTTTTTGTTACCCAAAAGGTATATGTAAATGTGCTGCATTTTAGTCTGTTGATTATCTAGTGATGTATATGACAAACTTAATTAACCTACCTCTCGATACAACTCACTCTCAATGCCCTGGAGCTTTGCAGGTGCTGCAGGTCTCATTGCTTCCATGGCTACTCCTGTGAGCCCCGCCTTCTTCTTTTTTTCTAGGGCAACATACAGTTGATACAAAAGCTTGATTGCAGCCCCATGCTGTTCAGTCATGATATTTTGGGCCTCATTTTGGTCAAATTGCACACCAAGGAGTTGAAGTGTTGGTTCCAGGCGAGAAAAATTGTTAAGTTTAGAGTTTGCGACCCTATATGTTTAAAAAAACAAAACTATATGTAGTATGGTATTTTGCTATTATAAAGTATTATACATACTGCAAAGTACTATGTTACTTTGCACTTCATAGAGTTTATTTTCATAGATCTTAAGGCCAGAAGGGACCATTAGAAACACTACCTGAATGTCCAACTTGCTGCAGTAAGCACTGTGATGATATATACCACTATATCAGGTTATAAGGAAAAAAACTGACTCTGAATAAGAGTTAAAAGTAGGTTGTAATGTGCATGGTGAATACAAAAATAATGAATTATTCATTGATACACACTCAAAAGAAACAATTCAAAATATTCAATATATTCAAAACTTTTTGATTTAAACAAAACCCTTTCATTAATCTAGGTAGCTGTAGGAGAGAATGCAGGCAGAAGCCCAGCAGCAGAGTGGGGCCTATCCAGTTTATTGCGCTGAATGCAGCATGTATGATTACCTGCCCTGTGGGTGGGTGGCGTATGTGTGCATTCAGTGCAAGGAGCTCCTGGCCCTTAGAGACCGCGTTCGGGCTTTGGAGGCCAGGGTGGCAGAACTGGAGGAGCTAAGGGAGGCAGAGAGGTATGTTGACGAGGCTTTCCGGGACACTGTAGATTTGTCCCACCTCTGGTCAGACAGCCCCTGCGTTGTTGAGGAGGATGAAAGGCCCAGGGAAGTAGAGCAGTCAATGGAAGCAGAGGGAAACCTTCCCATAGTTGGGACCCTCCTTCCAGATGGTGTTGGGGTATCCTCTCACACTGAGGTTACCTCTCTGGGGGAGGGAACTTCAGTTGCTAGGAAAAGGCAGGTGTTAGTAATGGGAGATTCGATCATTAGAAACATAGATAGCTGGGTTTGTGATGACCGGGAGAACACCATATGCTGACTTGCCTGCCTGGTGCGAAGTTTGCGGATCTCTCAAGGCATCTAGATAGACTTATGTGTAGTGCTGGGGAGGAGCCGGTGGTCGTGGTACATGTAGGTACCAATGACATAGGGAAGGGTAGGAGAGAGGTCCTGGAGGCCAAATTTAGGTAGCTAGGGAAGAGATTGAAATCCAGGACCTCTATGGTGGCATTCTCAGAAATGCTCCCAGTTCCACGCGCAGGGCCAGGTAGGCAGGCAAAGCTTCAGAGTCTCAATGCGTGGATGAGACGACGGTGTAGAGAGGAGGGGTTTAGATTTATTAGGAACTGGGGAAACTTTTGGGATAGGGGGAGCCTATACAGGAGGGATGGGCTCCACCTAAAACAAAGTGGAAGCAGACTGATGGCACTTAACATTAAAAAGGTTGCAGAGCAGTTTTTAAACTAAGAGATGGGGGAAAGCCGACTGCTGCAGAGGAGAATGTGGATCGGAAAGAGATTTCTCTTAGAGGAGAATCTATTGATAGAGATTCTCTAGGTTTTAGTCAGGAGGAGATGATGGAAGAGGATAAAGTAGGGGCCAGATCAGACAAGAAACATTCACATAAAAAAGAATCTGACACATCAGAAAAGGGCAGACAAATAAACAGTGACCAGTTTTTAAAGTGCTTGTACACAAATGCTAGAAGTCTAAATAATAAGATGGGTGAATTAGAGTGCCTCGTGTTAAAGGAGGATATTGATATAAAAGGCATCACAGAAACCTGGTGGAATGAGAACAGTCAATGGGACACAATGATTCCAGGGTACAAAATATATCGGAAGGACAGAACAGGTTGTGGGGGGTAGGAAGGGAGTGGCACTATACGGGAAAGAAAATGTAGAATCAAATGAAGTAAAAATCTTAAGTGAATCCACATGTTCCATAGAATCTCTATGGATAGTAATTTCATGCTCTAATAAGAATATAACATTAGGGATCTATTATCGACCACCTCACCAGGACAGTGATAGTGATGATGAAATGCTAAGGGAGATTAGAAAGGCTATCAAAATAAAGAACTCAGTAATAGTGGGGGATTTCAATTATCCCCATATTGATTGGGAACATGTCACCTCACGACGAAATGCAGAGACAAAATTTCTCGATACTTTAAATGACTGCTTCTTGGAGCAGCTGGTACAGGAACCCACAAGGGGAGAGGAAACTCTAGATTTAGTCCTGAGTGGAGGATCTGGTCCAAGAGGTAACTATAACAGGACCGCTTGGAAATAGTGACCATAATATAATAACATTTAACATTCCTGTGGTGGAAAGAACGCCTCAACAGCCCTACATGGTGGCATTTAACTTCAGAAAGGGGAACTATGCAAAAACAAGGGGGTTAGTTAAACAGAAATTAAAAGGTACAGTGACTGGAGTGAAATCCCTGTAAGCTGCATGGACACTTCTCAAAGACACCATAATAGAGGCCCAACTTAAAAGTATATCCCAAATTAAAAAACACAGTAAAGGAACTAAAAAAGAGCCACCATGGCTTAACAACCATGTAAAAGAAGCAGTGGGAGATAAAAAGGCATCTTTTAAAAAGTGGAAGTCAAATCCTAGTGAGGTAAATAGAAAGGAGCATAAACACTGCCAAATTAAGTGTAAAAATGTGATAAGAAAAGCCAAAAAGGAGTTTGAAGAACAGCTAGCCAAAAACTCAAAAGGTAATAACAAAATGTTTAAGTATATCAGAAGCAGGAAGCCTGCTAAACAACCAGTAGGGCCCTTGGACGATCGAGATACAAAAGGAGCACTTGAAGATGATAAAGTCATTGCGGAGAAACTAAATGAATTCTTTGCTTCAGTCTTCATGGCTGAGGATTAGGTTAGGGAGATTCCCAAACCTGAGCAGGGCCGCCCAGAGGATTCAGGGGGCCTGGGGCAAAGCGGGGGAGCTGCGGCCAGGGCCGGCTTTAGGCACCGCGGGGCCCAATTCAAAGGAGCTGCCGCCGAAGTCCCACTGCTGTCTTCGGCGGCAGCTCAATCGCTGCCGCGGAGGAAGGACCCTCCGCCGAAATGCCGCCGAAGACAGCGGCAATGATTGAGCTGCCGCCGAAGACAGTGGCGGGGCTTCGGCGGCAGCTCCTTCGGCATGTTGTGGGGCCCTCTTAGGGGAGCGGGGCCCGATTCCGGCCCTGCCTGCGGCGCTTGTACTCACCCGGCGGCGGTCCGGGTCTTCGGCAGCATTTTGGCGGCGGTGGACCCTTCAGTTGCTCCGCGTCTTCGGCAGCACTGAAGGGCCCACCGCCGCCGAAATGCTGCCGAAGACCCGGATCACCGCCGGGCCGGGGCCCGGGGCCTGGGGCCAATTGCCCCACTTTTCCCCCCCCGCTCCCCTCGGGCGGCCCTGAACCTGAGACGGCTTTTGTAGGTGACAAATCTGATGAATTGTCACAGATTGAAGTGTCACTAGAGGAGGTTTTGGAATTAATTGATAAACTTAACAGTAACAAGTCACCGGGACCAGATGGCATTCACCCAAGAGTTCTGAAAGAACTCAAATGTGAAATTGCGGAACTACTAACTATGGTTTGTAACCTGTCCTTTAAATCGGCTTCTGTACCCAATGACTGGAAGATAGCTAATGTAACGCCAGTATTTAAAAAGGGCTCTAGAGGTGATCCCGGCAATTACAGACCGGTAAGTCTAATGTCAGTACCAGGCAAATTAGTTGAAACAATCGTAAAGAATAAAATTGTCAGACACATAGAAGAACATAATTTGTTGGGCAAAAGTCAACATGGTTTCTGTAAAGGGAAATCATGTCTTACTAATCTATTAAAGTTCTTTGAAGGGGTCAACAAACATGTGGACAAGCGGGATCCAGTGGACATAGTGTACTTAGATTTCCAGAAAGCCTTTGACAAGGTCCCTCACCAAAGGCTCTTACGTAAATTAAGTTGTCATGTGATAAGAGGGAAGATCCTTTCATGGATTGAGAACTGGTTAAAAGACAGGGAACAAAGGGTAGGAATAAATGGTAAATGTTCAGAATGGAGAGGGGTAACTAATGGTGTTCCCCAAGGGTCAGTCCTAGGACCAATCCTATTCAATTTATTCATAAATGATCTGGAGAAAGGGGTAAAAAGTGAGGTGGCAAAGTTTCCAAATATACTAAACTGCTCAAGATAGTTAAGACCAAGGCAGACTCTGAAGTATTTCAAAAAGATCTCACAAAACTAAGTGATTGGGCAACAAAATGGCAAATGAAATTTAATGTGGATAAATGTAAAGTAATGCACATTGGAAAAAATAACCCCAACTATCAGGGCCGGCTCCAGGCACCAGCCCACCAAGCATGTGCTTGGGGCGGCGCCTGGAGGGGGGCGGCGCGGCGGGGCCTGGCCGGGCTCGCCGCCCTCCCCCCGGCGCTCCGGCCAAATGAAATTAATAGGCAGCAGGTTTAAAACAAATAAAAGGAAGTTCTTCACACAGCACACAGTCAACCTGTGGAACTCCTTGCCTGAGGAGGTTGTGAAGGCTAGGACTATAACAGGGTTTAAAAGAGAACTAGATAAATTCATGGAGGTTAAGTCCATTAATGGCTATTAGACAGGATGGGTAAGGAATGGTGTCCCTAGCCTCTGTTTGTCAGAGGGTGGAGATGGATGGCAGGAGAGAGGTCACTTGATCATTACCTGTTAGGTTCACTCCCTCTGGGGTACCTGGCATTGGCCACTGTTGGAAGACAGGATACTGGGCTGGATGGACCTTTGGTCTGACCCAGTATGGCCATTCTTATGTTCTTATGTATGAAAGCTCTACTGGAGTCTAAAAGCAATCTAGGATTTTTGATTGATTTATTTTAAAAGGGTATACGAACAGTTAAAAAAGCTCTTTACTTAGATTGTACTGTGAATAGTTCTTTAATCTAGCTAGCATGGTTAATAGTGAAGACATGGCAGCAAGGACTTCACTGCATGCTAACAACCCAAGTACATACCCAGAGTTCTTGATGGGCTTGTACTGGGGCAGCTAGCCTGTGCTGAAATGTGTGCTGCCACGCCTTCATTACTACAGTAGAACCTCAGAGTTATGAGTTCTTTCAAAAGTTTACAACTGAACATTAACTTAATACAGCTTTGTAACTTTACTATGCAGAAGAAAAATACTGCTTTTAACCATCTTTAAACGATATAAGCAGAGAAATAGTTTCCTTACCTGGTCAAATCTTCTTTTAAAACTTTCCCTTTATTTTTTTTAGTAGTTTACGTTTAACACAGTACTATACTGTGCCTTTTTTTTTTTTTTTTTTTTTTTTTTTTTTTTT